TAAAATGCACCCCCGCCTTTCGAAGAGATGCTGTGTACACTTGGAGTTGAATCCCGAATGAATATTACGCGTATGTATAATGAGTATAGCTACTTCTAATATTTAATAAACTTTTAATTAGAATTATTTTGGGCCCTTCATAATGACAGGGTTACAATGACGGGTCTTGTACCTATGAAATGGATAGTATAACTCATTTCTAGCGAATTCAAGCTGCGGAACGTGCTTTTCTCTGAGTGTTCCTGGGATAATCTCCCCTTTCCCCTGTCGCCCAGATTCCCTTCCAAGTGAGAAGTTGGGCCGGGCAGAGGGCGGACGAGCACTTCAAGCTAAAAAGTGAAAAGCCAAGTAGTGCGAGTGGCATCGAGCGGCGCTGCGGCGACACGCATATGTTTTTTCTGGGGCCGTGCGGCCGTGTTTGTTGCCTCGCAGGATGCGCACACCTGAGTGCTCCTTGATGGAAGCCCACCACCCCGACTGAGGAGCGGAATCGATAGCTGGGGGCTCAAGTGGCCGAGAAGGCTTGTCGAAAAATTATACGCCAAACAGACTACAAACACGGCGGATATACATTACGAGGGTGGGCCACGTGCCCCGATGGCCGTCATTTTAATTAAGTTTGTAAAAAAACAGGGCCACGATCCGCGAGAGTCTTTTGTCAGCAAACTTCCCATTTGATACTTTATTTACCTTTTGTTGATATCAACACGTTATATATCTACATATATTGGGATATCTATTTCAGATAACTAGCTGCAGAATTACCAGAAGAGATTTCTACTAGCAACAGCTGGGAAGATTCTAGAGACTCAGTGCAAGATTGATTTAAAATATTGCAACTTCAACAAATGTTACTAGTCAATTTCTATCGATAAGCCAAAAACAAACCACCAAAGTTAATAAACCACCAAAAGCTTACTTACACGTCCAAAATTTGTGTTGATTTGTTTTTCGTGTTGTACTTCTTCTCGCCTAGTTCCAACAATATGCCACAGATTTTTGAAATTTACCTGATAGTATCTTTGATAGGTATCTGATAGTGGCGCAATCGACTAACCGCTCTCAGTTCAACACATCCAATGGATAATTAAAGGATTTAATGCAAGTATTCCTTGAAAGCGCAACAGAAATAGTTGTATATTTAAATACATTTAGCAAGTGTCTAACTGACCATAGCTTTCAACATTAGAGGGAAGTGTAATACACTCTTTAAAGTTTTTATTTACTTACATGTTGTTACTTCGCCGAATACGAATATTGGTGGGCGCCAAAATAAGTTTTGCTTTTTATTTTAGTAACTATTGTTTAAATTTTCTATGCAGACCTGCTTACATAAGTTAATTCGCGCCATTGCAAATTGGTATGATACAAAATTCTTTTATAGCTTGAATATTTGTAGCCTTTTAATGAATTGAAATGTATGTATTGCTATTATGCTAAACTTTTAGCCACGATTTTGTGTAAATAATAATTTACTTCGAGTATTTTCAAGTAAGTAGTTTCAAGCTTATGTCCAGCTGAACGTAATTAAGCATTGACCAACAGTTTTACGATGTTTAGCTTCGCGAAAAATATATTCAGGTGAATTCGGATTTATGAGTGGATGCTCAATCAAACACAACACCGCCCGTGGGTTGCAGAGGTCTTCTTATTTATTTAAATCATTAGTCATTGCAGTTCCAGCATAGGTAATTACACACACGTTTTAAGCGCATTTGGGCACATAAATTAATACATTTCAATGGAGAGTGTGTCGCTGGGCAGGCAATCGCAGTTCGAATGCAGATACGTGACGGGGTCCTCGCAGCACTGTACTTATCACGTGATTTATATTAATGGCGGCATATCATGTTTCACGCGTGCTCGGCGCTGGTTTTGACTCCAGAACAAATTTGTCAGTGGGGGTCGGCACGCGCTGCACTTTGGAATAAAGTCATCGCCAACGACAGGTCGGCGCAGCAATGCCAACTCCGCAGGTCCGGAGATCCAGAAATGCCCAGAAATGCACATGGATGCATGGATGCGTGGACTCAAGGATCCAGATGCGAGTATACCCCGACTGGGACAGGCCTGGCACCTATTGAGAGCCGGGCTTTCGCCATAAAACAAAGAAATATGGGCGAGAAGAGCCAGTTGTTTATGATGGAGATGGACAAAGCGGCTATAAATCTTAATCCGCAAGAGTCAGATCGACTTATTGAAGTCCAGGTATAGGCAGAGGTATGATTTTAGAGATCGGCTTCTAGGGCGCAAAGTATCTGCATATTTAATTTCGCGTATCTAGTTTGGACCGCCTATAAGAAACCCACAGCCATCAGTATCTCTGAATGTATTCTCTCAATATTGGCGGAGTGGCTTGTGTTCCTTGGCACCCAAGTATATTCAAAGCACCGAAAGGCAAATTATGTTAATTGTACGAGATTCCGCTACTGTTGCTGAACATCGCGGTCGTGTCATTAGCAAACATGCTTAATTATGGCATGGTTTGGTATTGGGCATGGTATTGGCTTTAGAACATGTTGAAATATCTCATATCAACACGTCTTCGTGATGAAGAGGCATTTTCAGATATCTCTTCGTTTGTGCGCTAAATAATAAGACGCATTGCCGTCTCAGCCTGCTTTAAATGTTTCTTTTTAATGCAATCATGGCCGTCTCCTCCAAAGACTACTTTGCACTGGGCGAATCACCCAAGAGTGTGCTCAAAAATGAGGCAAAATGCGAAGCCCTAATGATAGCTCCGGGCGAGTGGCCCACTAGTTACTCTCACACGGGGCCAGCGACACCTACTACCTACTACCTACTACCTACTACCAATTCCCGACTCCACAGTCCACCAGCGGATACCGTTCCGCGCCATCTCGGCCTCTACGCACTTTTCAGCCCATCTAGATTCAGAAACGCATCCGCAGGCGCTACACACTACTCGGTTGTCCCTGCTCCAAAGATCGCAGCTGCTTAAGTGCGTATAACTAGGAAGAGTTGAGGTACATATGTAAGTAGGTTGAGGTATATGCAAATAAATAGGCGTGCTTTGGGGGAAAACTGTGCGTTTATATGTGCGGTTTTCACGGTGATTAATGCTCGGATCCGTATCAACTTGGTGAAAACCGTATCTTTAAGTTTGGAGGAAACCCCAAAATATATATATTATCAAGCTGCGGTGCAGGGGCTTTATAATAGATATACGAAACAGTGTGATTATTCTTTAAAGGTTTAATGTAAAAGGCTATATTTTTAGCCAATTATTCAAGGTAGTGTGCCAGGGAACCAGTATATCATTAAGATATATCTTTTACAATTATCGGTATGCATGATTCAGTGCATGAGTTCCAATCATGGACAGTCATCTGTCAAACATTTGCCTAAATCCAAAGTTTCGAGTTTCGAGGAGTTTCAAATCCAATGCGCGAATGAAACACAGTAGCGAGATTTCTACGAACTATATTTCCAAATAATTAATCCCATTGGGACTAAGATGTTAGGTTGAGCCTATGTGGCCCAGATATCCGACTCATTTCGTTTTGTTTTATCTCCGCGATGGCATAATTACACCATTTTGGGAGCGTAAAAACGAGCGAGGAATTAAAGCCAGCTAAACATTATTAAGCGCTTTAATGATTTTATAGTCCAATTTATATTCCTTAACAACCACTTGCACTCGGCCAAATGCTTACATCTCTTATTTGGGTGTTTGCTTTTAATTTTCGAAGTCCGAGTCTGGAAACCAGAAACCAGAACCCACAATCCAGGATCCAGTATCCAGAACCGAGAATCCGTCTCCGCAGTTATTTATCGCAAATTGGATGCGAATGTGTATCTGAGTATCTCAAAGTCTGCGCCACTGACGCTGATGCGATGCCACTCGGTTCTGGCGATTCGCTTGATTTAATAGTGGCAATTTCGCTCGACTCCAACGCACTGATAATTTTCTCACATAGAAATCCGTTTTTATAAGCTAAAAAAAGGCGCCGCACGCAATTCGGCATTCATGTTTTATTGCCTAATTAACTGGCGCTGACCATTTCACGACCTCTTGTGCGTGACGCGTGAATGGAGTTACGGATCCAGGGAATCACTTATTCCGAGGAGGAGCACCACGAGTGTGAGGAGGAGCAGCATCAGCAAATGCGAGGGCGCCGGGCGCCCGGCTCTGGACTCCTGTCCGCACATCCTAACCGCAACCGAGATATCCAGATAGCATAGGGGAAATAGGATTATAATTATATTTTACGCAGCGGGCAAGGGTCATTATACTCATATTTCATTTGAGCATCGCTTGGAAACATGGGTTCTACAAATGTGACGTTGAATTGGCTTGATTTGATTAATATCTTATTGGTCTATATTCATATTCCCAATTCATTAGTAGTATACAAAATATATAGATGTTTACTATCTTTTCCAATCGGAACATTTCGCTTTTGTATATTCCGTCTTTAAGTTCATCATGAGTTTTAGAATGCTAGTCACTTATTTTAAAAGTATGTGATGGGTTTTAAAGAAATGTATTTAAGCTATCAACACTACAAAATGATAAAGATTATTTGAATCAATGAAGAATCGGAATCTGGATCTCTGGGCTATCTCGGAATAATCCTTTTACTCGAGTGTGTGCAGGCGAGCGATATGTTCGCAATTTATGTACGCAATCGCAATCTACGGTGGGTAAACACAGCTGCAAATGTGTTTCCTTTGACCTCGAATTTAAATGGTCCGCCCTGGTGCTCCGCGCTCTATCGCCTATCTGCTCGTACGCCGAATTGCGAAAAACAGAGCGGATTAAAGGTGCACATGAGCACAGCCGTAGGAAATATGCTGCAAACATCCGCCATCCGCCATCCGCCATCCGCCTGCTGCAACTGCATCTGAAAACGCACACACCGCCGCACAGAGAACCTCGGTCGGAGCTGGGGCACACTGAAAAAAACAGGCAGTGCAATGTCTAGCCAGGTCAACTTAAGTTCTGAGATAGTTCAAATGAGTATAAGAAAGTATACAACATATATACTTTGATCAAGTTATGGTTGGCCAACCCAGCCCTAGTTTTTCCCTGTGCACGCAGGGGCAAAAGCTGGGCAGTAGTAAAGGACAGGAGGCTGGAGGAACCCAGGACAGCGACGAGCGCGGCTCACTCGCTTATCTTCCCCGCGGCTATTGGCGTCGTGCAACATTGCAGGAGCCGGAGCAGGAGCCTTTTCCTGGGCCTGCGCTGCTGCTGGAAGACCGGCCAGAGGAAGAGGAAGACCTGGCGAACGGACGAACGGACGAACTGGCGAATGGGCGAATAAGCGACCATGGGCCATGGGCCACGACCATGTCGCTGATGATTCGCATTCGTGTATCGCAAGCGGGCCACAGCTTTTGGCTTCCCCCGAAATTTGAATCTGCCTGCATCTGAGGACTTAACGAATATGAACAAAAGGGCCCGCGGCTGTTTCAAAATATTACCACACTCGAGTATTCGCGTAAGGCTACATACCACATATACATGCGTTCGACTCCGAACTCAAGTGAATGCGGAAAATTATGGCGAGGTAGTTGCAGATACAAACACTCAATCACAAGGGCTCCATTTGCATACGCCGCACCCGCCGCCGACCTCCAGTCCAGAAATCCATGAGGCCTATGCAGTCGCTTTGGCCATAACCCCTAGAAGTGGATATTCCTTTCGCTCTGAGGGATTGTTCCATATAAGGGCCTTCTGCTCTTTCGTCCGTTAATTAGACGTTTTTCTGGGTACTAGATACCTGTAAGCCGGGCATTTTATGTTCACATAACGTATTGGCTTTTTAGGTAAATCGCAGGAAGAAATGTTTTTTTATTTTGTGGAACTGCCCAGAGGAATGTCTTCCTACTATATCGAAAAATATACTGCAGTACTTATACTTTACACACAGATCTTAGTCACGAGAATAATGAAATAAATAAAATATAAGGTTGCTGTTACTGAGAGTTCTAGCATTTAGTAGATATTTAATCTGTAGAAAGTTCGGAGAAAAAAATCTTGTAGTGTGAGTAAGGGGTTTTAAATATATTTTATTGGAGTCTAAAAATGATGATTGCAGTTCAACTGTCTAACAAAAGTACACTATATCCCACTCAACATCCATTACCATGCTACAATTTAGCTTTTCTAATTAAGTTTTTGGTTGCACATCGGTTGTTGAATTTTCGGAAAATCATCACTCCCGAGCTGATTGTGATTTGCATGTGGAATGGAATGCACTTGTCTGCGGCCGGCAAGGCGGACCGAAAAGAGCGGCTTGCCGCTAAAAGGAGTTGCCACAGATTGGCGGTCGCGGTCCAGGTCCACTAAAGTCGGAGTAAGTGCCACGAAGCCACAAGTCTGGGCAGTAGTCATGCAAGTCCTGCGGCATTCACGAGTTTCCCCCCGGCGATCGCATTTAAGACGCATCTTAAATGAGGTGCTCAGGCCGAGTCCTCGGCTCTTGGGCAGTTGCGATCCCCAGCTCCCCAGCTCCTCAGCTCTTGGGCTCCTCGGTTAAGAGCCAGCTTATGACTGGCTCAAAGAAAGCTGCCATTTTCGGTAGTGCACTGGTATGGGTTGGGATGTGGATGTGGATGAGGACGGGGACGTGGATGTAATTGTGGCTGCAATGGTGTAGGTGTGCGGGTCGGTAGTTGGTAGTTGGCAGTGTACAGAGGTGTACTTGGGTGCATTTACCATGGGCACACGGACCACTGTGCATCACGATTTATGCCCGCTGCTGCGGGGAGGACTGGGAATTAATTGGTAATGCGAGCAGTGCATCAGTATCAGTATCAGTATCGGTTTTGGCTTTGCTTCGGCATCCGAATCGGAGCTGAAAATGGCGGACCGATCATCGATCGATCGATCGATCGATCTCTTGTCGTGGCCGCAATCAAAAGTCGTGCCGCCGCAATGAAATCGCTGAAATGGAGGTGGGTCGTCCGGCATTCCACCGCCGCAATTGGATAATGCACCTGATCGCCGCTTCCACTCCGCTCCACGAACCTTGCTTTCCTGGCTAGCTCCTCCGAGGTGGCTTCGTGAGTGGCTCCGCGTACATAATGTGCATGTGCAGTCGGCGAGATCACGGTTTCACATCTCATTTCGCCCTGCCACAAATTTGGACTTAATAACTGCGTGCCCGATATACTTTTCCTCCGAGTTTCGCTCCCTCTTTCTCGGTTGAACTTTGCTTCCCCTGGCAACAAAAGGTAGGAGCCCGAATCCATTTGAGTCACTTAGATAGCTAATGGCATAATTTAATTGGGGGACAAACATTCAAAGCTCGGGTCGGGCAATCCGGGCAATCCGGGCAATTCAATTTTCCACCGCCACTAATCCTTGTCCCGTTTACTCGCGGATCTAATTGTGTAACCTGAAAACAAAGCACGAATAAATGTAATAAATGTCTCCCGAGGATTCCGAGGCTTACTTTTAGCTTTTGTGGGAGGTTAATAGTACAACGAATTCAAATGTTCGTGGCTCCCACAGAACAGCACATTGTTCCTTGAGGTTTTATTCCTGGTGCTCAAGACTTAAATTCATCAGCTCCTCTTTAGCACATTTTTCACCTTTTTAACCAGCTGATTTCTATGGCCTACATGCACCTAACACACATAGCTTATATTAGCTCTTAAAAATGGTGGCAATCGTTATATGTTAATTGATTAAAAAGTCTGTAAACTTTCTTTTGCAAACACAGTTTTGGCTGAGTTTGGCAATAACAATGTTAACTAATTCTTTTAAGTGGAATAGGCAGGAATATTTCGGATTTGATTTTGCGAGGTCCAAGTGTTCGATTAAAGATATTTTCAATAAGTATTTCGGTGCCTTAAACAATATCTTAATATAAATATACTAAACAAAAAATATATGTCCCTATTTTCATGATTATCGCATATTAAAAACTATTTACTTATTTGGTTTCAATTTTTTTAGAATGTAGCTATATAAATTTAACAATTAATGTAACAATGATAATGTTTACTGTTTTGAGAAACAGAAATTGGGATAACACCTATAGCTACAAGCTAATAAAAATTAAATCAAATGTTACAATCTTTTGGAATCCTGACATTAACTTGATTTGAAATAATAATGCAACTATCTTTCTGCTTAGTTTCTTATTTGTTTGAAATAATAAAACTAACTAGCTTTTAAAGCTGACTATACTAGGTAAAATTTAATTTAGAGGGACAAAGTAAGGAGTGTAGGAGTAAGGAGTCAAGTAAGGAGTGGCTTGTTATAAACAAATTCTGACATTAACTTTATTTGAAATAATAATGCAACTATCTTTCTGGTTATTTATGTATTCGTTTGAAATAATAAAACGAACTTTAAAACTTTTAAAACTTACTATACTAGCTACAGGTTAATTAAGAGGGACAAAAGTAAGGAATTCGCTTGTTATGCACAAATTCTGACATTAACTTGATTTGAAATAATAATGCAACTATCTTTCTGTTTATTTTCCTATTTGTTTGAAAAAATAAAACGTACTAACTTTTAAAACTAACTATACTAGGTACAGGTTAATTAAGAGGGACAAAAGTAAGGAATTCGCTTGTCATAAGCAAATTGGCAAGCGAAGATATAGTTTTTGTAAAGCACCTTTTACATTAAAGAGTATGTACTTTAATCGCCCTAAAGTTGGCTACCGTGATTTATATGAAGGGGAATTTATAAATTAGACCTCTTTAAATATGCGAAGGGACCTGTCAGTGCTATTCAGTTTGTTTAATCGTTTACTAAAAATAAAAAAAATCGCTGGGCAACTTCACCGCAAACGTCTGAAATGCTATTGCTAACGTGCTAACAAAAAACGAAAATCTGCTATTTTCAGTTTGTTTTGATTATGGCGAGCGCGGACCCACACTCAGGCACTTATATGGGTAGATTTTTATGTAGAATATGTAAATCGGGCAACCTTTCACATGGCAACCCCCGAATGCTCGATAAGTACGTAGGTACATAGGTGGGTCGCTTAATCCCCGAGAGAAGAAAGTACCCGGAGCACGTACCACTGGCGATTTGGGCGTCCAATGCCGGGGTTTTCCCAGTAGCAGCCCGGGCCCAGAGATCCAGCCACCCTCGGGGCACGGGTGCGTCGCCAACCCCGGCCATTCGCATGCGATTCCACCCCTATGTATCCGTATCGCTCGCATCTCGCGAGCATCCGCATCTGGCCATGTAGCTGTATCCGTGTGTCTGTACGTGAGCTGCGCTGCCGCAGCCTCTGGGTGTTCGGTTTTCGGGCTCGGCCCATTGTCTAGTAGTCCGCTGGCGGGGCGTGGCTTCCGAAATATAAATGGCTGTGCTCTCTTCGGGCGGCGGGCTCTCTTCGGGAGCCGCTCTTCGATGCCCGAAAGCCAGAAAACCTGCTTGCCCGGCGTATCTGTGTGCGCTTCGCACCCATACAGGCGCGCGGCGAACGGGCATAGGCTTTGGGCACTTTTCCTATGTATTTCGCAGCTGTATGGGAGAAAAAACGGCAGCAGCCGCGGCAGCAGCAGCATCTGCAGCAGCAGCAGCCGCCGCAGCAGCAGCGGCAACAGCGCACATCCCCCGAAGGTTTTTGCGTCCAACCAGAAAATCCAACTTCAGTCGAGAACTACGTCTGGTGGCTGCGCAAAGGCGGAATTTCGATTGCGGGTCCTCGCTTAATTAACCAAATCAAACCGATCCGAACCGAACCGAACCAAAACCGTACCGAAACCGCTCCGTTCCGTTCCGTTCCGCACCAAAACGATCGTGGATCCGATCTGCAAGCTTATTCAAATACAATTAAGTCAAGTTTATTGTCCTTCAGCCGGAGAGTGTGCAGTGTATATAGCGGCGGATACGTAACTCTAACTCAAGCACCCACAGTTGCCTTAACCAGTGCCAAATATCGATTTTCAATAAATACTTACTTAGTGATCGTACCTGTTTTGCATCCCAACTGGCCCAAGTGTTCAAAAGAAAACCTATGCTATCCAACTAGTTGATATTGCCGTCTAACTTGGATCAACATGCACATTCTACACCGCACCAACGACCATCAGTTCGAGGATCAGAAGTTCATGATGGTAAGCAGCGCGAAGTATCTTGCAGGATACTTCAATCGGAGGAGGGTCTATCTATCCAAATTGTCTGTCAGCCGAAATTTGCTCGGGCTAATCCTCGAGTGCATCGGCGCAGCTTTAGCCCCAGCGTCAGCTACTCAAAATCAGATATTGAACCATCGAGTGCCCATGGGCCGACGAGCTTGATTGACACTGAAATTTCTTTGGGCACTTTGGGGCACGCAAGCCCCATTGGCCAATTACGATCCAGCAATCCGGAGATCTGGCACCAAGAGATCTGGGCCCGTGATTCACACACAAACTGATTACCATTCCGGGCCATTCTAGCAGCAAAATCAATGACCAATTTACAGTAATGGGTTTTCCTGCGACTCCGTGTGGCACACTCTGCTCTGGGAATAATAAGTACATAAACTTCAACCTGATTGTACCCACTCCAAAAGTCCGGGATCACTCAAGAGCCCAAGAGGGTGTGGGGCCCCAAGAGCAGACTGCGATCACAGGCGCATGCAATTCCTTTGTAATTAGGGGTCTTGAACCTTGAAAATGTATTTTCAATTAAAAGTGACTTCTTAAAATAAGAAGGCTTAAAACTGCAGAAGAGTATTTACAAATTTGAGCAAAGTCAGGATGCATTTAAATGGTTTAGTCATTTAGTTTTATTTGTCTTGCCATTCAAAATGCGATGTACACAATCTAATGTGCATATAAGTTATTCAGATTAGGTACTGTTCTGAAATGTTTATTAATATCCTAATAGGTTTCTTTCGGACTGAAAACTTTTAACTAAAAGTATAAATGCACAGTATTAAAATTTGTAGAGCGAAAAACATAACGTACCAGTACGTAACGCACCAAAGTTAGCCTTATCTTCTTTTTAATTTTTTATATACCCAATAAATCCAATAAATTTTCTCAGATTATTTAAAAATGTATAATCTCTCTGAAAAAGCCAATTGGTCTTTTAACTTTAAACTTACTTAATCTAATAAATAACAAAACAAGACCTTAACTTGTCATTGAGAAATCAGCTGTATTTAATGTAATCGGCTGTATATAATTATTTTTTGTACTAATTTTTCTATTGTATTTTGCTTTAAAATGGCAAATTTTAATCGTTTGGACTGTAAGACTGCAAGACAAGCCGTCGGAAAACCGACATCGTTGAAAATGTTGCTAGCATGTATGTACAAAGATTTTAAGATATGGAGTCTTTAAAAAGACTATTCTTTTAAATTTCAGATACAAATTTATCATAAAATATTGACAGTCTTCTATACTATAAAAATAGCTTAGACTTTGAAACTAAATCCAAGAAAGAAAGCCTTTTGATGTTTTTTATTTGATTTCGGTCATCTTCTATAAAAACTTTACTATCAGTGAATAATTGTCGGGTAAAAGCCCCAGATTAAGCATTTAGCCTGTTTGAAATATGTGCGTTATGGGAAAACATATCTGAAAGTAAAAAAGGCTCTACATTTAGTGCAGACACGATTTCGAGGCAGCGAAAAACAAAAAGTGACGGCGGTGGGAGTGATCAGACGTCAGTGGTCAAAATTCAAATGCGTCTATAGAGGAATCCTGGAAATGCGTGGGTACACGCTCCCCCATTTAATTAGCGAAATTATATGGTGTTTCTGCTTCCAAGAACTTTGTTGATGCCCGATAAAAAAATAGGGCAATTTGCGGGGCAAGGGCCAAAGATCAAAACAAAAACACAGCGAAGAGGTAGACCAAAAGTCATCGCCCACAAAAATCCGAGTCCCGCCAGCAAAGTGGGCATGCCGAGTGTGGTGGCATTAGCTTTGGTTTGGCTGGTCCTGGTCCTGGTACTGGCACTGGCACTGGAACTGGTCCTGGCCCTGCCACTCCGAAGGCTCCCAAATCAGGTAAGATCCCACTGGGACACTCGCGTGATGCGTTGCCAAAATAATTTATGAGATTGAAGCGCAACGCATCGTCAATTTGCGTGCGATCCCCGACTGAAAAAAGAATGCCATACAGACTGGCAGAAAAGTTCCCATAGCCCCCAAATATCAAAAAGTATTCAGCATTGGGCTTATTTATTAGCCAAACTCTCAAACTTCGTTTCATCCCAGAGGTTCGGGCTCAATCCCTGATTGATGGGTTCCCTTATGATTTATTGAATAATTTCTTTATAATTTAGAATAATTGTTCCAATTTACAATGTGCACTTTGTAGGATTCTGAGACACGTTGGTATGGTAATTGTGCTTAGGACTTCGGACGATCAGCTATACGAGTATAGGGATTACAGGAAGAAATAAATCCCTCTTTCGAGATGCAATATTATAGTCTTGATTAAAAGGTGCACTGCATTTCTATATAGGAGTAAATGGAACTAGAGGAAACTCGCAATAAGATGAATGAAACAATTTCGATAGGATCACAGTATAAGACCGATCCGTGCGCATATTTGCATATCATATTTATTATTTCGCCAGTGCGGGCGAGATAATTCCGAGTCCTTTGCATCCGCTGGAAGGCATTTCCGCTTCCACAGACGTGCAGATACATCCTCGGAGGAAACTCGAATTGCATATGCACGCATCAAAATTGATTTCATTTGCGGAGAGGAAATTAAAAAGTCCAAACAAAACTAAATTGATTGGCAAGATAAATGTAAATGTTCATAACGTGGCCAAGATCCGCAGCAGAATCCAGAATCAAGTGTCGGAACCTCGACGAGGTGGACGGCGTGTGTTAGGCTCGTGGCAAACCAAAACCAAAGCCGTGCCAAGCACCACATCCACATCCACATCCTCATCCTCATCCTCATCCGAAGCCAAAAGCCAAAAGCCAAGGCAAGAGCGAAACCATCGGTTGGCCGACATGCGTTGCCCTTGCCTCCTTGGAGGTTGAATATGGAGGATGGGGAGGCCATACCTGCAGTTGGCTCACGAGGCTGCTGCATCGAAAGCCTGCCCTTTGGACGCAGATTGCAAACGGACGAGCAGGGCTTAGCTCAGTCGTTTTTAGAAGAAGCTACACAGGGAGAATCGGTGAATTATGAAGAGCTCAAAAAAGATCGGAATCGACAGTGCATGTTGGGTTGCTACTATGAAGGAAAACTGTTACTTACCCATCTTTAAACTTTATTCTGCTTGCGATATATATATAATATTATATTATCATATAAAATCTGCAGCTCAAAGTGAATTTAATTCTGTATCGGTACTATAATTAGTATCGCTCTCAGATACATCGACTCTAAACGGTGATCCAGTTTATATATTGTGGTATGATTTCCAAACTTTCCGCACTGTGCCATAAAGTCTAGTAACAAACAGGCTCTCGCACAATCCACCTGATCTTTTCCCGCAGTGCAGCTGCATGGTCGCCAAGTGGGCACTCGCGACTCGTCGGTCTTCTATTCGTCATCTGTACGCTTTGCTAGAAGAGCGGACGCAGCATTTCGATTTTGGCTGAGCGGGATCCGCAAATACCCAGCAGGTTTAATACATTTATGAATGGGTTTTACTACTTCATTAAGGGCCCGCTCCTCCGCGCACTCGGGGGCCAAGGAGCTGGAGCCGGAGGAAGAGGATCCAGCCGAACTCCAGCTCCGCGGATTGGAGCGCGTGCGCAGCCAGGAGGAGCAGGGCAGGAGTACCTGCAAGAATCGTAATAAGGAGAAATCGATTATCGTTCGCTGAACATTTCCATTGTTGTTATGAATATTATATGCAGCGTTTGGAGCGAAGCTTCCTCTTAAGTTCGTTTAATTTATAGCTCTTCCGACAGTTTCAACTTGCAGTTTCAATAAATGACAGCACCGGACGTCGAACGAGTGTGTAATCTAATTGGAAACGAGCGCGGGTAAGGAGCCCACTGTACCACCGGTTCGCGGACGGCCAGTGCCGACCGTATGTAAATTCGTGCCCAAAATGCCCAAATGCCCAGAATGGATTCTTTATTTACTGACAATATTATGACAATGCCCGCATGAACTCGGCTTATTCTATGGCCGCGGGGCGGTCCTTACGCCACTCGATGTCTCCATATCCTATGGCCAGATCCCTTAGGTCCAGGGGATCCCCTCCTCACCTTCTTGGAACCCCACCATCATTCAACTTGACAGCGTAATTAAAAGGACTGGTCCATACGATGAAAGTGAGGAGTTTTATAAGATGTTAGGGCCTTCTTGTTTTATATGTCGCAATATAATTGGTGGCATCCAAGGCCCGACCAGGTAGTGGCCCAAAAAATGCGAAAATCGCGCAGGCATGTTCTTTTCTTGGGCGGGCACTCGTCTGCCAGGCGGAATGATTTCGACCGGCAATTTCAGTAATAGCGGCATGCCGGGATCGAGGCCAACTCCTGTTTGCTCCACTGCTACTGTATAAGTATCCAGAGTCATTACGTCATCGCCGAGGAATTCGGACGTGATTGCTCTTATGGAAGCCACGTGCTAATTTAATTATTATTTGCAAATACTTTCAAAGTGAGAGGGCCTCTGCACTCTTTCACCGCTCATTTTCGATTCTTGACTTGATTTCCTTTTATTGATTGGCTGGCTGGCTGAGTTTTTTTAAGCGATATATTGGAGACGTATAAACACATTTTTAATAGTGGATTTCTTTTAAGCTTTGATTTTGATTAACAAAGTTTTTCACGCTTTTCCTATAAGCCTAAATTAATACGTTTCCGAAAGAGGGCTGTCATTTATGTACAGAAAAAATGTACTCTATATTTAATATAGAGCTTACAACATAATTGATTTTACATTTGGTGCTGCATCAATGGTTGAATTAATTTTTACTTTTGGGTTACTTCGTATCTTTTGTATTTGCTTTCGTTTTCCTAGAATATCCAACAGCGATTTATGGTACAATAATAATGCCAGTAAAGTAACCCCGACCTGTGTATTTACAAATTCCAAATGGTTATGCGCTTCTTGCAACCAGACTCGGTCCTTCAACAAACATATATACAAGACTACAGATTAAATTGTAGCAGTTCTTACATAATTTAATAATTGAA